ATTAAAGCAAGCAACAATACTTGTAATTTATAATTAAAATGGGTGCAGACTTGGAAATTGTCAGCATGTTTGTCACCCACATTCGTATCTGAAGGTCAGTGGGGAGTCCTATGACATGCCTACAGGTAGTTTAATTGTCTTGGCCATTGTCAATAGCAGCCCCATGTACTAGGAGAACTAGCAAACTCCATATTTTAAATGAATGCAGACTGGGTGGTGCCACCTTTGTTGAGAGTTACTGCTTTAGATAATTTAATCATCTTGATTGTGGTAATGGACTCCAGATCTATCACAAGAACAATCTATTCAGTCCAGAAGTTGTGAAGTCTCTACCCACTAATTAAGTGACTCAATAGAAACTTGCCTCCTGTGCCGCCACATTAGCTCATTTGGAAGACCTGGGTATAGATGGTCATCTCCTTGGCTCAGAGTCCCTGCAGCAGCTGAGGTGCCTGTCTCTCTCTGGTTCCCAGTGGCTGTCATCATGCTCTCCTCCCCACTCAGGATGGCTGTGGTGTGCATGAGCAAAATCAACAGGAGCATGGAGGCCCACATCATCCTCAGGAGAAAAGGGCTAAGCGTCCAGTCTTTTGGAACTGAATCTCATGTGAAGCCCCCAGGACCAAGACCCGATCGTCCTGTGGTTTATGATTTTGCAACAACATATAAGGAGATGCACAATGACCTCCTCAGGAAAGACAGAGGATGCTACACTCAGAATGGAATCTTACACATCTTGGGAAGAAATGAGAGAATCAAGCTGGGTCCAGAAAGATTTCAGGAATGCACCAATTCCTTTGATGTCATCTTCACCTGTGAGGAGAGTGTCTATGACAGAGTGGTGGAAGATCTGTGTTCCAGAGATCAGCAGACCTTGCTGACTGTTCACATGATCAATGTGGTTTCTTGAGGTAATACCCAGAGAAAGAGGCAAATGGATGTTCACGTGGTTATTCAAGATGAAAAATGACACTTTTCAATTTCAAATTTCAATTTCAAATTTCAGGAAGATTGGAAGATTAATCTTAACCATAAATGTGAGTTATGCCAGAAATAAGGATATTGTGATAGGGACTGGGCAAATGAACATAGCTTTAGGTGTGTCTGACATTTCTATTTCTTGATGATGTGATGTATGCCTTATAATAATTGTTGTAGCAACTGTTATTTGGTTTTCTGTATTTATCTGTGTGTTTCTTTTTCTTTTAAAAATTACCATAAAAACACGAATAAAACACTCAAAAAATGAGGGAAATACTTTATATTTCGTGAAAAAACTTTATAATAGTTTTATTTGTAATTATTCCCTCTACTTCCTCTTCCTCTTTAGTTCCATGTCCAATCTCTTTTTTTTTTTTTTTTTTTTTTT